GGAAGTCGATTTGAAGTATCTTATTTATTTATTACCTCTGTTCATCGCGGAGGTGATATCACTTAATTATCATAACGGCCATAATAACCATAAATGACGACGATTTTCTGTACAACCATTTTTGGTACACATGTAAGCGTGTCAACTAATTGTTTCCGGGATCTTTTTTTAATATTATTTGGTTGCGTACACAATATATACAATATATATATACAATATATGATCGCATATTATTATCCTGTTTGAAATCAAGTATAAATTAACTGTAACCCTCAGCCGAAGATAGATAGTTTTTTTTATTTCCTACTTGATAGTATGTATATGCTCATTTTGTAATCTTTTCCTTCTTCGCCTCATTACTAGTTTGTAAATAGCATTTGATTATTTTATATATACACTCTTGAAAAAAAAAAAAAAATATTTAAAAAAAATTAAGTTCGCATTACTCTTTAATAACTAAAAATTTAATCGAATCATTCGTACGCACACACACACCAAAGAACAGAGAAGCGATGTCGCTCACTGTGAGAAAATTCCTTCACTCTACTGCAAAACATTCTTCCCGAAGTCCCATAGAAATGATCGTGCTGTGTCTGATTATTGCCTCGTTTGCCTACGCATCCTTATTTCGATCCCTAATGGAATCAGATTTCTTTAATACCGAAAATTATCAAAGAATAAAACCAATAAAAGCCATCTCTCATCCGAATTCCAGCGAATTTTCCACGATAGAAAAACGAGAGTCGACCAGCACCCAAGCCACCAGGGTTCAGATAAAGCAGATTATCATCACGACTCAACAAGACGACGATGAAATAATTAGTTTGATGACGACAAAGAAGAGTTACAAGATGGAGAAATCAGAGGAGGACAGTGTTGATGGTGATAATGGCGACATACTGAAAGATCAAGGATTGTCAGAACTCGTGGTCAAGTTCCGTAAAATGATCGAGAATGAGGTTTTCATTTCCGACGGACAAAACAAATTTTATTATAATGACGATTTATGCTACAAATCAAATGGTGACAATTCGACATGTATTACACTTAACTCTTTACCGATCGACAGTGTCGACGTCGGGACCTCTTTGGTGTTGAGATATGCACTTGATGCGAATGATCCTTACATGGCCAATCTCGCCGATGCCTGGGAAGAAAAAGTTGTCGGATTGAATGTCGATAATTTTGCTTCCTTCAACGGAAAACGACCGATCCCTCAAGCCGAGAAAGGTTCTTTTGCTTGGCTGGCTTTCGTTGCCGGTAGTCTCGTAAACAAGATCCAAGAACTAATCCAGGTTATTCATTATCTGTTATCTCAGACTTTCGTTGTTCTTGACGTTTGACCTAACTCGTCTTCCTCTTTCTATCAACAGAAAGCGGACACCATAGACATATTTGTGATCTTTGCCGGATATGTGTTGATGCACTGTACCTTTGCTCTACTCTTTGTCAACATGAGAAAGATCGGTTCACGGTATATACTAGGTGAGTGGTATACCTTTTATCCTTTCGTCTCCCGAGATCTCATCTGTCGATCCGCTAACTCTTTCGTTCATCTCGCATGCAGCCATGTGCGTCTTATCCAACGGTTTCTTTGCTTTCATGTTCGCCTTGTTGACAGTCAACCTGTTTGGTGTCACCGTAAATCCGATATTATTAAGGTATCAATTCACTTGGAACACCTGTTTGTATCTTGATTGAGGCATCCGTGTCATCATCTAACTTTCATATTCGGGTCATCACATTAGTCAGGCGATACCATTCCTGGTGATCACGGTGGGATTTGAAAAACCCTGCGTCCTCACAAAAGCAGTGCTTACCGCAACACCTTCTGATCCGAACGCCATGAGTTCTGCCTCGGGCTTATATCAGATTGAGGAAAAGATATCCGCCACCATACCGTACAACGTGCGAGACAGCGTCATCGCCGGGGTCACCAAAGAGGGTCCGATGATCGTCAGGGATTATTTGATCGAGATCGCCGTGTTATTTATGGGCGCATTGTCAGGCGCCGCGGGATTGCAGGAATTTTGTTTCTTGGCCGGATTCATCTTGTTATATGATTGCGCGTTTCTGTTTACCTTCTATACCGCCATGTTAACCCTCAAGCTCGAGTTGAAGAGAATAAGGGAGACCCAATCGACGAAAAAGCTCACGGAAAAAGATGAACTAAAGAGTAGTTCTGCACATGATATTATTAAGGCTCTCCGAGATAATACGGTTGAGACCGAAGAGTCCAAGAAATTTGATAATCCCATGATCTCCAGGGTTAAATTGTTGATTGTGAGTAAAATGAATTTGGTTTCTGTATTCCGTGAAAAAATTCGCCATCACCACTGGCCTTCGAATCAACCGACATTGCTAATCGTTCATATTGGCAACAATGTATCTAGATTGCGGGGTTCGTAATAATGCATGTCCTAAATTTCTGCACGACGCTTCACACGAATGACGATTCGATTCAAGTGCCCTCGATCGCACTCCTCTCTTCCCAACTGCCAACGGTCGACATTCACGATCCGTCCATAATGGTAACGCTTAACTCCCTACAATCTATGCATCGATCAAGTCCAAAAGCCTTCTTGCCGTTGATCGTTGATATTGCACCACCGATGATCTTTAAAATTGTTCAAAGCGGTTGCGGGAACACCACGCCATATCTGATTCAAGAGTGCTATAAAAGTTTCGATTCTATGTTTAACATGTGGTCATCATACGTGCAGGATTCGGTACTTTCAAAGTGGATCTCGATCGGTTTGGTGTTTTCAATTGTCCTGAACGTCTACCTCCTGAACGCTTATAAACAACCACAACACCGAACCGCTCTTGGAAGAGAAGATTCCTCGACGACCGATAACACCGAAAATCACAATACGTCATCGGCTATTGCTTCCCCTCCTGAACCAGAGATTGTTCCAATTGCCAAGGCCATTGAATTAAGCGTGAAGCTAACACCACCTTCCAAGAGTCCGACGACCACGGTTGTCGAGCAACAACCTGTAGAAGTTTCCAAACATGTCATCGAAACTCGTGACCCCATGAAGATCACCGATTCAACAAGGACCGTGGACGAATGTGTGGATGTCCTGAATTCTCCGCAGTCAGGTGGACCATCAGCTTTGACCGATGAAGAGGTGTTACTATTGGTCAACAACGGGAAAATTGCCCCCTATGCGTTAGAGAAAGTTTTGGGAGATCACGAGCGGGCGGTTAAAGTCAGGAGAGCTCTCATCTCACGTTCCTCCACCACCAAGACGTTGGAGAGCTCCGCATTGCCGGTAGAAAATTATGATTATACAAAGGTCGCGGGATCGTGCTGTGAAAATGTAATTGGTTACATGCCGATACCTGTTGGAATTGCTGGACCAATGAAAATCGACGGGGAGATGGTACACATACCAATGGCAACTACCGAAGGGTGTCTCGTTGCGTCGACATCACGCGGATGCAAAGCCATCAACGCCGGTGAAGGTGTTATCACGGTGGTCACCCAAGATGCGATGACGCGCGGACCGTGCGTGGAATTTCCAAATATTTCGAGGGCCGCAAAGGCGAAAGCATGGTTGGAAGGCGAGGGACACGAAATAATTAAACAATCATTCGATTCAACTTCAAGATTCGCAAGGCTGAAAAAGTTGAAGGTGGCATTGGCGGGCAGATTAATGTTCATAAGATTTGCAACCTCGACCGGAGATGCGATGGGCATGAACATGATCTCAAAGGGGTGTGAGAAAGCATTGTTGTTGATGAACGAACATTTCCCTGATATGCGGATTATATCTGTTAGCGGAAATTATTGTACCGACAAGAAACCTGCGGCGATAAATTGGGTCGAAGGACGCGGCAAGTCCGTTGTGGCCGAATCGATAATTTCCGGTGATGTGGTGCGAAAGGTGTTGAAGACAAGCGTGCAGGCATTGGTGGAGTTGAACATATCAAAAAATCTAATTGGATCAGCGATGGCGGGGTCGATAGGTGGGTTCAATGCACATGCGGCGAACATACTGACTGCTATTTTCCTGGCCACCGGGCAAGATCCGGCGCAAAATGTAGAAAGCTCAAATTGCATAACATTAATGGAGGCCGTGAACGACGGGCAGGACTTGCATATGACATGCACGATGCCATCAATAGAGGTCGGAACCGTAGGGGGTGGTACGGTGCTGGAACCACAGGGTGCGATGTTGGAGATGCTGGGAGTCAAAGGACCACATCCAACTGCACCAGGAGCCAACGCGCAAAAATTGGCAAGAATAATTTGTGCGGCTGTGATGGCTGGAGAGTTGAGTTTGTGCTCAGCTTTGGCTGCCGGACATCTGGTCAAGTCTCACATGGAACACAACCGGGCTAAACCACATGTCGAACATTCAGTACACCAACACAACTCGTTCCATCATGTACAAAAGCCACGCAGAAAATCATCAGTCTCATTGGGCGATACAAGGTCACCAATATCAAACTCACATTCAATACCGACGGCAAGACCGAGTGTGTCTGACTGTAATTCAGCTTCGCAAGATTCTGAAAAGGTCATACTTGGCAGCTGCATAAAATCATAACGCAGAATATATTCGAGGATTTAATTTGAATAGAGTAATTTAGTTATTAAATTTAACAAAGTTATTTCATCTTCTTTCATTTCGAAAAACAAAAAAAAAAACTCAATGATTAAAATTAAATTATAATATAATCAGAACACATCCGAATTCTCATTTATCTCATTCACAATCACCGGGGACATACCGTGGGGTGCAATACTATTAATACCTTGGTCGGTTTATTCAGGAGTCGTCATCAAACTAAAGGCCCTATAGAATTATCAATTTTATCGTCTACCTTGACATAATATTCCCATCACCAATTATATCCCGTAGGGGCATCAACTCCCAAAAGGCAGTGACCGCTTGCCTTATAGATGTACGAACTCTCGACCACTTAAACTCCTTTAACCCCAATTTAACCTCGCTCGAGTAGCCAGGATCTAGAGGTCTCCCGCATTACCTTCTTTACATTGTATATTGAGATTGATAAAATCAGCACAATCAAAATTTGTAAATTTTTATAACAAATCATTATTAAACAAAGATAAAAGATTAAATATTAATATAATATAATACTTTGCTTTTAAAATGTTAATTTTATTTTAAATTTTGTATTTTTTTTTTTTCTCAATAAAAGGTTTTCGATATGACCTTGCATGAATACCTTTATTACCATATGTTGTAAATTTGATGCATTTAATAATATTAGCATTTGTTATTTTATTTTAAAAAAAATTTTTTTTAAATGTTTGTATGATATACATTATAAAATATTTTGCTAAAGCTAAATCTCTACCTAACTCGCTTATCTTTGTTTTATATTTTTCCTAAACTCTACTGCCGAATATTAGTAGTATTTGTTATTATTATTATTATTTTTTTTTTTTTTTATTTATAGTCAGATTAGCATAGTATGTTTATTAATCATTATAAAAATTAATAGAGATATATTAGACAAATATATCATAACTAAATTAAATTTCATATTAACTTACTTGTCAACAGCTTTCAAATTTTCAAAAAAGTTTTAATTTTAAGTATAACTTTAAGAACAATATTTTACTTTGTAATAAATTTTGGAGAAATACTCTTTTAATTAGATATCATTGTTGTCAAATTGTCTTTAAAAAATCAATTTTCAAAAAATTATACAAAAAAAAAAAAAAAATTCTAAAAATATACAAGTATATTATATAAAAAAGGCAAAGAATTTATAAAAGCTCTTTATTTTTCAAAAGATCTTAGCTAAAATTTTTTTTCATTAAAATTAATCTTTTTGAAATAGTTTTTTTCATCTTAACTATTTGAAAAACTTATTTTTTTTTAACCTATAGTTAGATTAGCATTATATATTTTTATTGTATATACTATATGCTAAATATTTATAAATTGTTATAACTTTCATATACTGACTTACTTATTATTGAAAAACTATTTCTCTAAATGCAACTTAAGGAATGGTATTTTGCTTCTTTATTAATTTGGATAACTTTAATTAATAAAATCATTGCTTACAAATTATTACTGTAGATCATTCTAAGTTCTGTTTGCAGTTAAAAACCAAACCATTTGATTCCATAACAAACCCAATCCTTAATAATTGCTGCATACTTTTTTTTTTTTTTCTTTAGTATCTTTCAGATTCAAATTCTTCAGAAATAATAGTACAGTTTCTTGATCCTATTCAGTTATATGTTAAATCAGTACTTGTGTTTTTTATTTCTTTTATTCTACTTCTTTTTCCATTCTATAACTTATACATAGCAATTATTTCAGATCTTCTTTTTGAAGTTTATTCATATCTTTTGACAAAGTTTGCTAATATACTCTATATAGTTGCAAGTGGAATCTTGAATTGTTCTTTGAAAATTTCTTCAAGGAGATGATCTTATCTTCTTCTATATATCCATAGATAATATTGAAAAGACTTCTGTCAGATTTTTTAATCTCTTTTAACCATTTGTTTGTCCAGTTATTTATTACAAGTTGGATTTTTTTTTTATTTTTAACTTCTTTATTAATATATTTGTAAATCTTTTTGTTTATTTTCTGCTATATGTCTTTCCTGATTTCTCTAGTAACTAAGTATTCAAAGAGATGTCCTAATGTCTCTTCTTGAAGTTTATATACTGGACAAGCAGTTATAGTATATGTATCTGATTTTTTTTTCTTAAATATTTGTAGAACTAAAAGTTCATTGTGAATTAAGTTAGTTAAGTATTTGAAAAACTTATTAATTTGTGATCTTAATTATTTTCTTATAATTATCTATAATATTTATTATTTACTTTGATCTAATATTTTATTTAATACTTTTTTTTATTAATATTGATTTATATTTATTTATACAAAAAATAATAATTTATAATTAATTTCAAATTCTTATATAACTTTTTAATTATATTATATAATTTTCGATATCTTTCAACAGCTATATCCAATTAAAGAAATTTAATTAAAAATTATTTTTTACTACTTAAAAAACTAAATTATTTGATAATTTTTTAATTTTGTAATAATAAAAAAGTTTTGTTAATAATAAAAATTTTGCTGATTATAATATTATTACTGTATATAATATTTAAAAATATGTATTTTCAATTTTTGAAAAAAAAAGTGATTTACAATCTTCTATTTTTTGATCTTATTATTTAATTGGAATAAGAAAATAATTACTTTTATATACTTTACTTAATCAATATAATAAGAAGTTAAAAATCTTAGCTTGAACAAATTATCATCTTTTTATTATTTAAAACTTCAATTTTTATTCTAATAGACTTATAATTTTTTTACTTTAATTATATATTATTTTTTCTTCTAATGCTAACTCATTCTTGCATCAGCTCAAAAACTTTATTATAGTCAATATATGTTCTAAAGATAATTAGAATAAATAATTATCCATACTGTCTAAGAATTATAAATCAATAAATAATACAAATGAATATCTATTTACATCTTACTCAACCAGGATAGGATAACTATATAACCATCTAATATAAAACTGTCTCTTAATTCTAATTAAATTAGAGAATTAAAGTATGCTAAACATTTAATCTAATAACATAATTTACTATTTTAAACCTACATATTTTTTAAATAACACTTTCTAGAATCATGACCTATCAAATAACTTATTGTTATCCCTATTAGAAAAACCAATGTGTCAAGAGTTTACCTAAGATATTTAGTATCACCAGTATTGAAAGTCTCTTATATAAAATATTTAGTGATTTTATTAATGCTTAGAATATTTTTTCTATAGAGAACCTGTTTTTGTATTGATCTGTCTTATTACATAATTGAAGCTTGGTCTTATATAAAGAACATTAATCTCTAAATTATTAGCCTTGATTATCAGAACCTGTTCTGTATCTTTAGTATTATACCAAATAGAATCTTTGTCTTGTTATAGGCATGTCTAGTCATTTCTATAAATGATTAGATTCTTCTTCTTATATCTTTAAGGGTAATCAGTTTGTATTTAGGATCTCATATCACTTATTTTGCCCATATTTGTGAAACCTTATGTTGTGTTTTGTCTTGTTATAGCTATTATAATTAAATAGAATCTTTTTTTACTTTCTGTTAGGATACCTAAAACCAGTTATATATGAAGAACTCATATTATTTATATTAGTCTCATATAGAACTTTATGTTGATTTAAGTATTCTTACTATAGATATGATAAGTAAACAGGTTCTTTTTATTGCCTTTATGAGATACTTAATTATTATTATAGGGGAGATGAGATCTTTATACTACATTGTGGTTTAATTTTCACTTGACTCTTATGTGATATTGAACTCTGAACCTTCTAATTGCAACTTGAGAATACTATTACTGTACTATAGACCTATAAATATATTTAAATTATACAATATAATATTTAAAAAGTAAAAAAAGGCTGTATTAATAATTTTTTTTATCAATAATATTATTAAAATATATACTGTAAATATAATTAATAGGAGCTTATTTACAGTGATAACCTATAAGCAATAAACTTGATAGTTAAAGGATAATCCAAGTTATTAAAAAAACAAAATATCATCTTCTAAGTTGCATCTAGAGAAGTTAAACTTTTAAGACAGGTAAGTTGTCATGTAAAAATCTTTGAAATTGTATAATATTTTAAATAATAAAGATAAGTCATATCAGTCTGATGATGGATTTAAAAAAAAAATAATAATAATAATTAATAGGAGCTTATTTATATCTTGTTATTAATATAAAACCTGTAAATCTATAGTATAGTCAAGGTTCAAAGTTCAATATCACATGAGAATCAAGTAAAAATTAAGTCATAGGTGATATAAAGATCTTATTCTCCCTATTATAATAATCAAATACTCTAATAAGGCAATAAGAAAAATCTGTTTGCTCATTATACCCATAGTAAAAATAAATAAATTAATACAAGATTCTATATAAGATTAGACTGAGTAACATGAGTTCTCAATATATTATTAGTTCCCAAGTATCCTAACAGAAAGTAAACAAGAATTCCATTTACTTATAATAGTCATAACAAGATAAGACACTAAGACACAATACAAGGTTTCAAAAATATGACTTAAATAAGATATACGATATCCTAAATATAAACTGATCATCCCTTCCTCTCTAAGATATAAGAAGAAGGATCTGATCACTTATAGAAATAATCACAGATACCTATAACAAGATCAGAAATTCAGCCTAGTATTATATTAAAAACACAAGACAAGTTCTAAATAAAGGCCAAAACTGAGTGATATAATATCTTTAATACAAAACTATACTTCAATTAAGTAACAAGACAGATCAAAATACAAGACAAATTCCTCAAAAAATTTTAAGCACTAATAGAGTCATATAAGATTCTATATAAGAGCCCTTAACATTAGTGGTACTAGGCATTTTAAGCAAGTTCTTAACATATTAGTTTTCTTAATAAAAATAGCAACAAATTGTCCAGTGGATTATAATTCTATGAAGTGCCACTTCAGTAATATATAGATTTAAAATAGTT